GAGAGCCTATGCTTTGCATAATATTTAGTTGTGATTAAAGTTAAGAGAATACATTTTTAAATGCTAAGAGAATACATTTTTACATGCTGTCTTTTTAGGGTATTGATCTTCTTATTTAGATTTTCTGGCCATAGAGACCCTTTCCCAAAGTAACTTGCAAAACCACATGCATAATCAAGGACATTAATTACTGGTAAATGGCAACTGCCTACTCTTGGCATTTACCTTCAGAGGTAATGTCAGATCACATAACTTTCCAACTGAAAGAAAATCAATTGCTGTGAGGAAAGTTTCTTCTATTCCCTTATGGTAGAGACACAGATAAAGAAAAAGTGAAAGATATTCTGGTCACCTAGAGTTCAAGGAAACAGACAACAAAATCCAAAGGACTCTAACTTATTTTGTTGTACTAAACGATAGTCTAAAATTGCCATACATCATAAACTGAAGTTTAGAAATATTTTTGGAAGACACTAAATTTTATTTTAATGGTATTTTCAACAGTTGTTGCTGTCATTCAATGTCTGTTTTCTTTTTTTTAATCTGTTAGCTCCATCACCATATATATATATATTTTTTTTAAACGTTTTTATTAGAGTATAATTGCTTTACAATGGTGTGTCAGTTTCTGCTTTATAACAAGGTGAATCAGTTATAAATATACATATGTTCCCATATCTCTTCCCTCTTGCATCTCCCTCCCTCACACCCTCCCTATCCCACCTGTGTAGGTGGTCACAAAGCACCGAGCTGATCTCCCTGTGCTATGTGGCTGCTTCCCACTAGCTATCTATTTTATGTTTGGTAGTGTATATATGTCCATGCCACTCTCTCACTTTGTTCCAGCTTACCCTTCCCCCTCCCCGTATACTCAAGTCCATTCTCTAGTAGGTCTGCATCTTTACATCTTTATTCCCATCTTACCCCTAGGTTCTTCTGACCATTTTCTTTTTTTTAGATTCCATATATATGTGTTAGCATATGGTATTTGTTTTTCTCTTTCTGACTTACTTCACTCTGTATGACAGTCTCTAGATCCATCCACCTCACTAAAAATAACTCAGTTTCGTTCCTTTTTATGGCTGAGTAATATTCTGTTGTATATATGTGCCACATCTTCTTTATCCATTCATCTGTTGATGGACACTTAGGTTGCTTCCATGTCCTGGCTATTGTAAATAGAGCTGCAATGAACATTTTGGTACATGGCTTTTTTTGAATTATGGCTTTCTCAGGGTATATGCCCAGTAGTGGGACAATGTCTGTTTTCATAACCACATTTTTCACTCCTCAAGGTAAGCCTCTAAGTTTTAAAAAACTGGTACCTGTAACTGGATCCAGAGCTTAATCAACAGATCCTCAAATTACTGTGCTATTGGAAAACTATTCTCAGCTCAAAACTTTCATGTTAGTTCTAACTAATAATAAACATTGGTATAAGAAGTGGTTTCTTTTCAGAGATTAAAAAAATAATAACTGATTAATTCCCACAGCACCCCTCTGAGGTAATATCATTATCTCCAGTCTGTCCCTGGAGAAACTGGGGTAGAGACACCGACTGTATTGACGTGGCATAAAGTGAAATAGAGATGGAAATTCATGAGTTACTTTGGTCTAGAAAATAAACAATTTGGATAATTTGGCCTTCCAGTAGCTTCTCAGTTCTGAATTATCCAAATTAAATTTTACTTTCATTAAAAAAACATATAACATCTATATATTCACATCCATTTGACTATATAAATACTGTTAAATAAGCTACCTTGTAATTGTAAATCATTCATTCGTTCCACGAATGTTTACTGTGCATGAAGCAAACACTCTTCTCAGTGCTTTTCATATTCTATCTATCTCCAATCATCAAAACAACCCTGCAGGGAAAACACTATTACTCCCACTTTGCAGCTGAAGCCCCTGAAGTTCAGTGTATAGGGTTGCAAGATTTTGCAAATAAAAATACAGGACACTCAAAAAAAAAAAAATACAGGACACTCATTTAAATTTGAATTTCAGATAAATACCAAATAATTTTTTAGTGTGATTATGTCCCAGATGAAAAGTATTCATTATTTAACTAGGGGTCCCTTATTTCATCAGGGTGATTTGATCAACTTCTAACAGACTGTCCTTGATATAACCCTGTCAGGGAGGTTAAATAACCAATTTAAGGAGTTCAAGTTCAAACAGAGATCTGTCTGTCTCTCAGGCCTGTGTTCTTTCAGTTAATCAGTTCCCTCTCAAGATATTGAGGAAGAATGTCTTAAAGTTGAGAATTTGGCCAAACAATGAAAATGCAAAGATTAGTATTAAGAGACATGCAGTAAAGACATAACAGAAATAAAGTTTCATGTTTTTAAAGGCATCTGAAAAGCGGAAGCTAACACACCATTGTAAAGCAATTATGCTCCAATAAAGATGTTAAAAAATAAGTAAATAAAAATAAAGGCATCTGAAGAGTTCCTAGATATAAATTTCCCAAACCAACATGGCTTCACCCCTCTGATGCTGGCTGTGAGAGATGTGGACCTGTTTGAGAGTCTTGATATGTTAACCCTCTGTAGACATGCGGAGGTTCTGTCTGAGCTCCTCAGGCATCACGCGTGAGTATAAGTGGTCAGTCAGCACCCAAGGAAGGGGGTCTCTGCCATTGTTACTTACAAAGTCATTTGCAAACCTAGACGTATAGATTGCTATATATATATAATTCTTTATATATATATAAATATATAGTGAATATATATTAAATGCTGTACATATATAATATATATATAATGTATATATATATATATATATATATATATATATATAACGCATATGCACGGTCACAAAAGGGACTTCGAAGTTGCAAAGTGATGTACAGATGTTAGAGGTTGCTATCTATTATTCTTATGATATTGGTCCTTTGTTTTACTTGTTTAAATACTTACTCTTTTGGTACTTCCTGGGAATGTCAAATAATTCTTGAGTATACAGCTCCCTACCCCCCAAATGTTACTAATTATTGCAGAAAGCATTGTCAATTATCAAAAACAATTTATAGTAATGATTTACAGTTATCTAAAGATTACATGTCAGCCTGCTCTTTTAGGATAGGAGACGTAAACAATTTCTTTTAATAATTAGAGGGTTAATAAATAGTCTTTCATGTCAGAATTGCAGTTTCCTAATTCTGTTTGCTACCTATTTATCTTGTCATCAAATAAGAAAAGATGGCCAAAGTTCTTTCTCAGTATTTCACATGAATTTTGTTTTGGGAATAAAAAAGGAAGATGAAACTTCCAGAACAAAAGTATAGTCAAGAACATGATCTATTGTGAAAGGATCAATTAGTATAATAGGATGAAGATGGAAGTCTGAAGCTACGTCAAACTTTAGCGTTAAACAACAGCTGAAGAGATTGTTAAAAATGGAGATTACTGGACATCACCCCAGAGATGGTGTTTAGTAGGCCTGGAGTGGGGTCCAGAATACTGGAGATCAAAGGACACCACGTGAAGAAACACTAATTAAGGCAGATGAGCAAAACAAGGTCTGAACAAGATAAATGACTTGCTTAAGGCCACATATCAAGGTAGTGGCAGTCCATCGATTCTTGGTCCCATGCTAACTCTTTTGAATCATGACTTTTGATGGAGAAAAGTTCATAAGAATATTGTTGCAGATCATAAAACATTACCCTGTCCCATAGCAATAAAGAGATTCTAATTCAAAGGTGTTAGGTTGGAAACCATGATCAATTCGCTCCTGGTCCCAGAATGTGACTAGTGAAGCGAGTTTAGTCATTGTTTCTCTCACCATAATCTGTTAATAAGAGTTCCCATCATTTACCCTTTGGACCTCTCTGAGCTCATGTCTAATTCTAGGATCCAGTACAGCAGAGAGAGGAGATTTGTGCTGATTCAAGGAGCCCTAAGACCAGTCAGTTGGGCTTCACAGTCACAGGGCAAGGCAAAGAGGAATGAAAAAATCACGCAGAGAGAGATTTTATGATACGATCACTCCATTCAACCAAAAGCCTGTGAAATAAGCATATCAGTTTAATTTCAAAGTGAGATGCTAGGCCATTCTACTATTTTGAATGATAAAAGAGCTAGCTGTTAGCATTAGGAAAAAGAAATATCAAGACTAAGCAATTAACTAAACCATTGGAAAGAAAAAAAACAATCAAGTCAGCTATGTGGCAGTGATAAGACAACAGTTAATCAAGATGTTTTTTAGGGCTTCCCTGGTGGCGCTGGGGTTGAGAATCTGCCGGTCAATGCAGGGGACATGGGTTCAAGCCCTGGTCTGGGAAGATCCCGCATGCCGCGGAGCACCTCGGCCAGTGAGCCACAACCCCTGAGCCTGCGCGTCTGGAGCCTGTACTCTGCAACAAGAGAGGCTGTGATAGTGAGAGGCCCGTGCACCGCGATGAGGGGTGGCCCCACTTGCCACAACTAGAGAAAGCCCTCGCACAGAAACGAAGACCGAACAAAGCCAAAAATATTTAAATAAATAAAAATTTGGGGGGCTTCCCTTGTGGCGCAGTGGTTGAGAGTCCGCCTGCCGATGCAGGGGACACGGGTTCGTGCCCCGGTCCAGGAAGATCCCACATGCCGCAAAAATTTTTTTTTAATGTTTTTTATCTTTACTTGATTTAGGCATTATTAAAGAATTATGAAACTTCTTGTCCAAAGTTGGAAATTTTCTGCCTTAGAAGGTTTTTAGAATGGGAGAGGCATAAGATATACAGCATAATCTTCTCATTTAAAAATCTTGAAAATTTGTCACTCTCTCGCATACATTTTGAAGTCATTATTGTTATCCCCAAACTATATAAAATTACTTTTATTTATTTCATGTCAATGGTTTTCTTTTTCAATAGATTGAACTAAATAATCTTTGATGCTGATTCTATTCTTCCTAGAGATCCTAAACTCTGTGATTTTAGTGGAAAATCAGCAATACATTATGTGTCACAAATAGGAAGTTTCAGGAAACAGCAGTTATTGGACATTCTAATGAACTCTATGCCAAAACCAGATAAATATTTCTATTCCACTTTCAAAATTCTCTAACTACAAAAGCCCTATTAGAAATCTTTCTTTTTCTACATGGATTTGATGGATCCGTTTAAAGAAATCAAACTAAATGTGTATATATGTGTAAATGAATCACGTTGCTGTACAGTAGAAATTAACACAACATTGTAAATCAATGATACTTCAATAAAATTTTTAAAAAAGAAATCAAGTGAACAACTATTTATTGAGCAGGAACTTTGTACAAGACCCAAAACTAGATACTCTGAGGCAGGCAAAGAAGCCTAAGACATGGTCCAAACTTTTGAAAGTGTTCAGTACAGTCAGGGACACATCATGTAAGTCAGAGGAGAAAGAGCTTGTTGTAAACTTGAAAGGGGAAGAAAGACTTACAGTGGTTCTCAAATGCTGGATAAGATAGGAAGGAAGAGAAGAAGAGAGAAGGTGTGATATAGGCAGAGAGAAACAGTCTGAGCAGGACAAAAAAAACAGCCACAGAGAAAAGTGTAATAGAAAAAGTGCCACTGAACCACATGTGACTGTGAAAGCTGCTTGACTTTATTGTTTGATTGGCTTTTTTTGGGAAGCTTCTTGGCAGGGAAAAAGGTTATCCCCAGGGAGGTTTCATGGAAGAGGTGAGACTCAATCTGGTCCTTAAAAAATGATGAGATTTGATTTTGTGGAGCAGAGGCATCATGCTGTAAGTGAGCATGGCTTATCCCAGGAGCAAATGGGAGACTAGAACCAACAGTTCATGTCAGAAAAAAGGAATACAGAAGATTAGATACATAAAGAAACTGGGTCCAGGGACTTCCCCGGTGGCACAGTGGCTAAGAATCCGCCTGCCAATGCAGGGGACACGGGTTCGAGCCCTGGTCCAGGAAGATCCCACATGTCACGGAGCAACTAAGCCCGTGCGCCACAACTACTGAGCCTGTGCTCTATAGCCCACGAGCCGCAACTACGGAAGTCCGCATGCCTAGAGCCTGTGCTCCGCAACAAGAGAAGCCACCGCAATGAGAAGTCCGCGGGCCATAATGAAGAGAAGAGTAGCCCCCGCTCACCGCAACTAGAGAAAGCCTGCACGCAGCAATGAAGACCCACAGCAGCCAAAAATAAATAAATAAAATAAATAAATTTATTAGGAAAAAAAAAGAAAGAAAGAAACTGGGTCCCTTGAGGACTCATTAAATGTCAGCCTGAAGGACATTTTTTTTTCCCAATAAAATAGAGTCACTAAAGAATTTTAAGCTGGGTAATGATGAAAGCCATGTTTTAGGAAACTTAACCTGTCATTGTGTTGGATGAATTTGAAGGAAGAGACTCATACCAGGGAAGCTCTCTTAAGAAACTACAGAAGTACCTGTGTGCAGTTATAAGAACCAGGAGAAGAGTCTTTGGTCATGGTGTGTAGTGGTCCTGAGAAGTGCTGGGTATGGTGAGTCTAAGAGATTGTGAAAGAATTCACAGAATTTAGTACTGTAACATTGATAGAGGAGACACAGAGACGAGGGTTGAGGGAGTTGAGTTAAACATGATTCCAAAGTTTCAGCCCTAGGAAGTGGGGAGATAGAAATACAATCAACAAAATAGGAGAACACTTTGGTTTTGTGAGGATGTTGAAGGTAATGAGTTGTAAAACACTACATTTGATGGAAACTTAGGATGTTCAAAGTAGCAATTTTCTGTAGGACAGGGCTTGTGGGAATGGACGGGTTGATACATTCTTTTGGGAGTTCTCTACAAGGAGATTGTGAGGACCTGAGAGTAGGTAAGATCACTAAAGTACTGATGATGGTAAGAAAATTGCAGGGGCTGAACAGAGGAGGTGCGCCCACAGTTAGAGAGAGCTGTGCACATAGAGACTCTGGGGAATGAGAAAGGGAGGAGAATTGGGAGAGAGTTACAAGAAGGAAGGAGTGGGAAACAACGTCAAATTGGAAAAGAGGTTACAAAGCAGATGTGATAAGGAAGTGAGAGTTTCAATGGCAGGATAGAGGCAGAAGACAGGTTGCAAAGAGTAAAGAAAGAGGATATGGTGAAGAAATGGAGGATATGAATATAGATCACTCGTTCAAATTTGTTTCAGTTATTAGGATAAATGGAAGAACGATTGCAAGAGGGAGTTTTCATGGACGAGCCTGTGCTTATTTGAAGAAGTCATGCTGGCAGGAGAGGGATGAATATGAGAGCAATGTCCCCCAGGAACTAACTGGAAATTCACTGTTTGGTGTTTAGAACTTTATTAGTTTAATGTGGCTTCAAGTGCTGGACAGGAAGTGTGCTTGAAACTTTTGCCCATTTTTAAAAATAAACCGACAAAACCCCATTCATTCTGTGGACTTTTTTTTTTTTTTAATTAAGGACAATTTTTATTTCCTTCCTTTATTTTGTTATTACATTAAAATAAATTTTAAATGTTTAATAATTGTCATAATCTTAATAACACATAAACATTTTCCATGTTTTCTTTTGATTTTTGTCCATTTACATGCATATTTTTCACATATTTATATCTTTAATCTATTTTCTATGTTATCTTCTATATTTCCACTTAATATTAATGACAAACATTTTTGTATGTTTTTACCTTACCATCCATCACCTTCCTGTCTGTATGATAATAATTTCTCTTTCCTTATTTTTCTTTTTTTTTTTTAACATCTTTATCGGAGTATAATTGCTTTACAATGGTGTGTTAGTTTCTGCTTTATAACAAAGTGAATCAGTTATACATATACATATGTTCCCATATCTCTTCCCTCTTGCGTCCCCCTCCTTCCCACCCTCCCTATCCCACCCCTCTAGGTGGACTCTTGTTGTGAAAATTATGGCCCTGAAGCTTCATCAGGATCCCAGTCCACTATTTCAAGAAAATCTTAGACAAAATGGAACTGATTTTAGAACCTAGAGCTAGATCTTGCTGTGAAACTGCTGGAGATGCATCTCATCAAAACACATTATTATGTTTCTTTTGGCAGAAAGACATGCTGAATCATTGCTTGACATTTGTCATGATACAAACTCTTCTCCAACTGATATGATGACAGTCACTAAAAACCAAAATATAATCTTGCAAAGCATCAGCAGCAGGGAGGTAAGAAACTCTCTTTAAAAAAACAAAGTAACAGAAAAATGGATAAGCTACTCCATCTACACTTAACTGTATTTACATCTACTTCATTTGTGTTGCTTGAATATTTATAACAATCATATATTATAATTATAGATTTAAATGTGATTATAAAGAAACTTAAAGTACAATTAATGAGAGTCTATCATGAGTTTAATCTCAAGGCAGTAATGAGTTAGTCAACTCTGAGTCTCATGCACTGTGTGTGTGTGTGTGTGTGTGTGTGTGTGTGTTTGTGTGTGTATGGAATACCACAGAATATTACTGCAGTTGAATCCATACTAAATAGTAAAATGTAGCTTGTCTTTATGTATGTTAATGTGGAAAAGGAGAAAATCATTATTCTGATCATGTCAAATCCATCACAGGGTACGACAAAGGAGGTACCTCCTCTTGGCCCTGGTCATCACCCCCTGCCCATGATGAATGACTCCATAAAGTATAGTAGCAGTAGTGGTAACAAACATCGTGCCCATGGAAAATTATGGAATGATTCCCAAGAGGTACAGTAAACTGGTAAAGTGGTTACCTAAAGGAACAGAATTGGATAAAAACTTTAAAAGGTATACTCATGTGTACCTTTTGAATTTTTATAAAATTTAACATAGCCCAAACTGTTAAAAATATTACTACTCTATGGGAATTCCCTGGCCGTCCAGTGGTTAGGATTCGGTGCTTTCACCGTGGGGACCTGGATTCGATCCCAACCAAAAAAAGAGAAATTCCTACCCTATATTTTATTGGTAATAAAGAATATGACCACAAAATTGTCTATTTCTAAAAGGTAATGAGGTATGTACTATAATATGTATAAACAATACGAAGAGTTTTGGAGATGGTGGAGTAAGATCTTTCAGTCCCTTTCTCCTTCCAAAAATCATCCCCAAATAACAAGAAGACAAAAAACAAAAATTTGAGTAAAAAATTAGTTTGAGGGCTTCCCTGGTGGCACAGTGGTTGAGAGTCCACCTTCTGATGCAGGGGACACGGATTCGTGCCCCGGTCCGGCAAGATTCCACGTGCCGCGCGTGCGCGGAGAGGCTGGGCCCGTGAGCCATGGCCACTGAGCCTGCGCGTCTGGAGCCTGTGCTCCGCAACACGAGAGGCCACAACAGTGAGAGGCCCGCGTACCAGGACAAAAAAAAAATTAGTTTGAAATAAGTATAGATTCACAAGAACTTGTAAGAATAGTACAGAGAGGTGCTGTATAACCTTCCCAAGCTACCACCAATTGGAATTATCATCATAACTATAGCTGATTGTCAAAACTAGGAAACTGATATTGACACACTACAAGGAACTAGACTACAGACCTTACTTGGATTTCACTAGTCTTTGAATGCATTCCTTTTTCTTCTTCTGTTTTCGTGTGCCTGTGTGTACAGTTCTATGACATTTTATCCCCTGTATTATCATGATCAAGATACAAAACTGGTCTGTCTCCACAAAGGAACGCCCTCTTACTCCTCTCTTTACTGCCACATCCTCCCTGCTAACTCCTGGCAACCACTGATCTATTCTCCAACTGTATAATTTTGTAATTTCACAAATGTCATATAAATGAAATTATCATACATGTGAACTTTTAAGATTGCTTTTTCAACTCAGCATAATGCTCTTGAGATAGAGCCAAGCTGTTGTGTGTACCAATAGTTTTTCTATTGCTAAGTAGTATTCTATTACAATTATATTTTGTTTCACAGTTTTTTAGCCATTCACTTGTTGAAAGACATTTGGGTTGTCTCTAGTTTGGGGCTATTACAAATAAAGCTATTATGAACATTCATGTATAAATTTTTGCGTGACTTATGTTTTCATTTCTCTAGGATACATGCCCAGGAGTCCAATTAGTGGGTCATTTGGTAAATGTATGTTTAGTTTTTTTAAAAACTGCCAAACAATTTTCCAGAGTGGCTCTACCATTTTATATTCCCACCAGCAATAAATGAGACGTCCAGTTTCTCTACACCCTTGCCAGCATTTGGTACTATCAGTATTTTCTATTTTAACCATTTTTAAAAATTTAAACCAAAATAAGTATATGGTGTTATCTCATTGTGGTTTTAATTTGCATTTCCCTAATTACCAATGTTGAACATTTTAAAAAAATTTATTTGCGGGCTTCCCTGGTGGCGCAGTGGTTGAGAGTCCGCCTGCCGATGTAGGGGACACGAGTTCGTGCCCCGGTCCGGGAAGATCCCACGTGCCGCGCAGCGGCTGGGCCCGTGAGCCATGGCCGCTGAGCCTGCGCGTCCAGAGCCTGTGCTCCGCAACGGGAGAGCCCACAACAGTGAGAGGCCCGTGTACCACAAAAAAAAATAAAATTAAAAAAAAAAAAATTTATTTGCCATCAGCATAAATTGTTCAAATATTTTGTCCGTTTTCTGATTGAATTGTTTGTTTTCTTATCGTTGGGTTTAGAGAATTCTTTATATATTTTGAATGATGTGTGACTCGCAGATATTTTCTGCTAGCCAATAAGAAAAACTTGGAGGTTTTTTCACCTTTTTTTTTTTGCGGTACGCGGGCCTCTCACTGTTGTGGCCCCTCCCGTTGCAGAGTACAGGCTCCGGACGCGCAGGCTCAGCGGCCATGGCTCACAGGCCCAGCCGCTCCGCGGCATGTGGGATCTTCCCGGACTGGGGCACGAACCCGTGTCCCCTGCATTGGCAGGCAGACTCTCAACCACTGTGCCACCAGGGAAGCACTTTTTCACCTTTTTGACAATTCCTTTATCAAACAGAAGTTTTTAATTTTGATGAAAACCAGTGTACCCACTTTTTCCTTTACTCGTCTTGATTTTTACATCTAAGAAGTCTTTTACTTGATCCGGGTCCTGGTTACATGAGTGTGTTCAGTTTATAAACATTCACTAGTCTATACACTTATGATATGTGCACTTTTCTGAATGTGTGCTATACTTAAAAATGAATTAAAGGGAAGGGGTATGCCTTCAAATATCTGAGAAAAAATATGGTTTTCAACCTAGGATTTTATATCCAGACAAACTATAAGTCAAGTATTAGGGTTGCATAAAGACATTTTTCAGACACACAAATGCTCAAACATTTTACATTTCATACACCTTTTAAGGAAGCTACTATGTGCTCTGTTAAATTAACGAAATAAGATAAAAATGGAGGGGAAAATTGGATCCATGATTCAGGGGATCTGAAACCTAACACAAGAGAGGAGGGTATCCTTGGTATAAAGCAGAAAGCAAGTCCCAGGGCTTCAGCCACGTATGAAGTCTAGAGAACAAAGAGCTCTGATCCTTGGGGGATGGGAGGAGTGAGGGAGAACAGGATAATGGAGATTTCCAGGAAGAAGATGGAACTGATATATTATCTGATATATTTAACCAAGTGAAAAGACCACAGGATGTTTGGAAGATTTGAGTTAAAAAATATAAGAAAAGGAATTAAATATTAAATTAAATTGTGAATGAAATAAAAATGGGGGTTTTGGGTTTTGTGCAGGAAGCTACTCAGGAAAGTATAAACATACTACACTACTATTGCACTACTACAGTGCAATACATACAGTATAGTACAATACTCAAATAATCATAATTTGAACTTTGCCTATTGATTTAACAAGAAAAAGAGGGTGAATTTACTGGGAAGATAGAGGCAAAGTATAAGAATATTAAATTGTCAACTGCAATAATAAGAAGCCAGTAGGTAATATATCACTTTAGTGACAGCAGGATAAGTACATTATCTAGAGATATGGAAGAAAATACCAAAAGAAACACTTAAAAGGCTGGAACTGGCTGCCTCTGGGGGAAAGAGTGGGGAAGGTAACTGATGACCTTTTTTGTTATAAGTTTTTGTTTTTAACCATTATTTGACTTCTAAAAAATGTATAAGTTAGATAACAATGAAAACTAATTAAAAATTAAAATACGGAAATGGTTAAATCCCAACTCCTCTGGGGCATGGGATGGGATGAGGTAGAATGGAAACATTTATTTTTAATACTATTTGAATATTTTACTATTGTGCATTTGTAACTTTTCTAAAGAGGTTAGCCTGCTTCTCACCAAAGTTGCTTTAGTACAGTGGTTGTCAAAAGGGGGTGATTTTACCCCTCAGGAGGCAGTTAGCAAGGCTTAGAGACATTTTTGGTGTCACAACCGGGGCAGAAGTGCTGCTGGCATCCAGTGGGTAGAGGTCAGGGATGCTGCTAAACATCCTACAGTGCGCAGGGCAGCCTTTCCACAGCAAAGAATCACCCAGCCCCAAATGTCAGTAGCAGCGAGGCTTAGAAACCTTGCTGTGTAGTAGGCTTTGTCCCAACATTGAAGGTTGTATTGTTTTTGATTACTAATATTACATAGTAATTGGAATAAAATACCTAGAGACCAATCTTTAAAATGTGTGTCATGCATCAGAAATTGATAAACAAAAACTCATTTACTTTTTTTTTTTTGTGGTATAGTTAGGAACTTTCTTTCTTAAAAAGACTAAAAATCCTTTCATATTAGTATATTTTTTCATGCAAAACATTTTCTGAACTTTCACTCTATATTTTTCTTATTATGGTTGAAATAACTGAACTCATTTCTGAAGGAGAAATAGACTCTCACTATTGAATTTGCCTCTTCTTCTCAGTGCTTTCTCTAGTGCTTAAATTGCAAAACCCAAGGTCACTCTTTACTTCTTTCCTTCGAATGAAAGCTTGCTTTTCTTTTGGGTTGTCTGTAATAGGTTTTTATAGTTTACAAATATAAGCAGCTGCCTTGCTTGTAGGATTGCTCCTGAGAGGCTCTTTATACCCTCTCCCAATCTCTTTTCATCTAAGGAGAATCATCTTTCTAAATTTAATTACGTATGATTTCTATGCCTCTTTTCTGTGTGGTTGGCATTCTGTTGTTTACAGATTAGAATGCTATGCCCTCTATCTAGTCTGTTGTCACCTCCTGCATCACTGTCAATGGTTTACGAACTCCATTTATGTTTGGGGTGTGCTATTCTAACATTTTCTCTCCTTCACTCACAACTGAGTGTCATTATTTTAATTTTCCTCCTTGTAGCACCCAAGCAATCCTTAAAGTCATTCATATTTAGTATTCTAAAAGAAATCAGAAAATTCTGAGCTGTTTCTGCTTTTGTCTTCATTTCCATGATAACCTTCAAAGTAGACATTATTCCCTACACCCTTTTTGTTTGTGATACTTATGGTTTTTCAGTTTATTCTATGGAAGAAATTTTTGTCAGGAGATTGTAGGCATCACACATCTTTTATTTTATCTTTTCCTGTGCAAAACCTATAAATCAGGTTTGAGTATTCTTCCTCTTAATTTTGCTCACTGTTATTGATTCCTTTCTTTCTGGTTCTTGTTGAGACTCTGTTTCAAGTTTTTCATGGTAACAAGAAAGCAGAGTGGTTAAGACCTCTGTAACCAGACTACAGAGTCTGGGTGTGAATCCTGGCTCTACCATAGGCTAGCTATGTGACCTTGGGTAAGTTACTTAACTTCTCTGGACCTCACGTACAAGAGAATAATAGTTCCTACCTCTAGAGTTGTTGTGAGGATTAAATTAGTTAATATGTGAAAGGTGCAACAGTGTCTGGCACTTTATGTGTAAATGCTAGTCGTCATTATGGGTTTGGCAGGTAGGTGTGCCCACACTCTGTGTCTTCCAACTTTTCTTAAAGGACCAGCTAATGAATGAACTGAGCAGTTGAGAGGGGCGGGATAGGGAGGGTGGGAGGGAGGCTCAAGAGGAAGGGGATATGAGGATATATATATACATATAACCTATTCACTTTGGTGCACAGCAGAAATTAACACATTATAAAGCAATTATACTCTAATAAAGATAAAAAAAAAGAAAAAAATTCAATAAAGACTTTAAAAATGGTCCACATCAAAAAAAATCTTAAAAATCATGTACTGCTAAGTTATTACAATTGAACACCTAAAATATTTTCATGGCAGTATAAATGCAGGGTTTTATTTTTTTCTGTGATAATTAAAATGAACAAAGCAAAAAGAAAAGATTCCCAAGCTCTCTTGGGAATTAATAAATGAAATATCAGATGATGTTTGGTGATAAAGGCTACCTGCTTGTCCAACAGACATCTGCATTTAGGGCAAAGACTTTTTATCCAACAGTCTCCTTAAGTAGGCAGTTCAACCAGATCACAGAAGCCAGAGAGCCACTTGTAACATCCAGGTTGTGACGGGATATTTTAACTACTACTTGCATCTATCACTGTTCTAGACATTAAAAAGGGCAAAATCACCAGCAACAACTTCTAATGAAGGAAACTATCAACAAGAATAAATTCTAATAGAAAACATTTCTTCTTTAGACAGTTAGGAGTACTTTTCATAAATCAAGCTGTTTCTCAACCGTGTTTTTCAGCATGATTATTTTCTAGAGGGTAAAACGAAAGCTTTAGAGGTTGCATACCACGATTAGATCAAAAAGCTGTCATAGTGAAAACTTTAATCAGCTTTGCCGCCTCCTTTCAGTCTAAGGTTATATCTGCAGCTTCCATATGGGGCAGGGATTTCTACCCTCATCATTTACAAACGATGCCCCAGGGAGGCATTATGGAAAAGATCATGTTCCTTTGGGGTTGTTCACGGACTGTGGCCAAAGGATTCTTTCCAGTTACCCACCCAGATGGAATTTGGGGCAGTTTAACAGCCTGGACACGGACATGATAAAGTAGAAAATATTGAATTTCTCTGTGTCTCAGTGATTTCAGCTTTGATCTTCATTTTTGATTATGCAGTTAATCACGTCCGTGTCTGTCTGAGCCTCGTGCTCTGGAGGCGAATAGTTTCCCATTTTTTTAGTCCTAAATGCTTTATCCGATTTAAAAGGAATCCACAGTGTGAAACTCTAGCCTAGAAAAAAAATCAACATTCACTCTGCCAACCAAGTACTACATTGAACAACTGAGTTTCTATTTTATGATATTTCAGGAGTTTGACCAAGATGTTGTCTGCACTCATTCCATATTGATTAGTGAAAAAGGAGATCCAAGTGGTGATGGACTAGACTGGCAACCCAGGACAGAAGGTATCTGTCTTCTGTCCTTGATATGGTTACAAAGATAACATGGATTATTTGGATTTTCCCCCTAATTTTGGTAGTCCTCAGTGCAGGAACATTGAACTCACAGACAAGCACAAAGGAAAAGAAAAATCACTCATAATCCTATCCTTTGGTCCATACCTGAATCAGTGAGTTTTGTCAATCTGCCCAGCCAAAATGGGCATCCCTCTTCCGTCTCTCCCCTTTGTTCTACCCCACTCCAGCTCAGCCTACTGTCCTCATCTCCTATCTTTTTTGTCTAATAACATCTTTTTCCTCATTTCTTTCCTCTCAGGATCTTCCATCAGCTCCAGGGATCTGTTCTCTTCCAGGACCAAGCATTTCTCCACTATCTGTCATCCCAGAGCTCCTCCCTTGAGGGGGAGTTGCGGGCCTGAACAAAGAACTAAAGCCCCAAGTTGCACTCTTGTATTCTAGGAGGTCATAAGTCTGGAATTTTCCAGAACAATGCCCGTTCCAAATATGTCATCCTGTCCTACCCATAAGTGTCCTTGCATTGAACAGATCACAAAGTATTTGCAGATTCTCACTTCAAAAAATAGTCATCACAGAGATCACATTTGTCTGTCATCTATTCGCCTATAAACTTTTTTAAAGTTTTTTTTAAAAAATAAATTTATTTGTTTATTTTTGGCTGCACTGAGTCTTCGTTGCTACGTGCAGACTTTCTCTAGTTGCGGCGAGCGGGGACTACTCTTCTTTGCGGTGCGTGGGCTTCTCACTGCAGTGGCTTCTCTTGTTGTGGAGCACAGGCTCTAGGCGCACAGGCTTCAGTAGTTGTGGCACGTGGGCTCAGTAGTTGTGGCTTGCGGGCTCTAGAGCGCAGGCTCAGTAGTTGTGGCACGGGCTTAGCTGCTCCACGGCATGTGGGATCTTCCTGGACCAGGGCTCGAACCCGTGTCCCCTGCATTGGCAGGCAGATTCTTAACCACTGTGCCACCAGGGAAGTCCCCCTACAAACTTCTTAAATGAAATGTTTATTTGAACTGCTCCAATCTCTCTCTGATAATTTTCCTATTTGCATTTCTACCACTCCAGGGAAGCTGCTCTCTGGATGTCTTTTTTCTCATCCCTGTCAGCCACCCTGAATGCCACAGTGCTGTCCTAGCTGCTCTCTCCTTTGGCCCCTTATGTGATGCTGCCCTCTTCTGGGGAGCCTTCAGTCTTTCTCAAACTCACTCGGTATCTCCTCTCCCCTGGCGGAGGGCGGGGAATAATTTAATAACATTTGAAATGATTAACTCCATGAACCCTGAAAGACCTAATTAAAATAAACAAGTTCTGATCCCCTTCCAAACAGTCTATGTGATCTGCCTTTGACTTTCAAAGGTTTCAAAGCTGAGTTCTCAGAAGCCTGATTGTGTTCCCCATCATCTTCCAAGAGGTTAAAATAATGTGTTTATTCTGCTCCATCTGGAAGTGACTTGCCATTTGAGGTGCTTATAATTCTTTTAAAATCGATTTGTAAGATTTTAGGTTTTCATAAAGAACCATAACACTTATGCAGCATCTCGACTAGGCCCTTGTAGTTGTAAGCTTTCATAACTTGGGTTACACATTTGAAAGAAGCAATTATGTTTCTAAATTTTCCTCTCATAGTTGATAAGAGTCTTCACTAGAGCTAGTTACTCTTTTAAGTCACAAAGCCTGAAATAAAACTGTGTGGGGTATTATTGTGCATTGTATACATCTTAAATAGCAATAAATCTCTTTAAATCCCATTTACATATTTCTACCAATAACATATTCCGGGTTGTTAATATTAAAGTGCTTGCACATGTTATGAAGACTTTATGCACATACCATGTGACTATTCTGTTGTAGATATGAACATTTTAACATTTTATTTATTTATTTTTGGCTGTGTTAGGTCTTCGTTGCTGCACGTGGACTTTCCTTAGTTGCGGCGAACGGGGGCTACTCTTCGTTGCGGTGCGCGGGCTTCTCATCGCGGTGGCTTCTCTTGTGGAGCACGGGCTCTAGGCACGTGGGCTTCAATAGTTGTGGCGCACGGGCTTAGTTGCTCCGCGGCATGTAGGATCTTCCTGGACCAGGGCTCGAACCCATGTCTCCTGCATTGGCAGGCAGATTCTTAACCACTGTGCCACCAGGGAACCTCTAGATATGCACATTTAGTTTATATCTGTTCATTGTATTATTCTTTTAAAAAGGGAGCATCACTGACTAAAGTATGTATAAACTTTATATAATGTTTGGATAACTCCCCTGGTCTTTTAACAACTAAGTATTCCTGCAGCATACATTTGCTTTATTATGGGCTTTTACAGATGGTAACTTGTAAAATAAAATCCCCCCGCAAAATCCCTCATCTTTTTCCTTAGTATAAAAATCTTGCATTCCTCAATCAGCTATTTTCCCAGAACATATCAGATGCAAACCTCATAGACTGGAAATTGAGCGTGTAAAATTACCCTTTTCATGAGTGAATAAGAACCTATTTTCTGAAATTTCTGGGCTTAATTTATTTTTAATTGTGTATCATCAGAATTCTTAAGTGTAGATAACAGAATCTACTCTACTTGAGTGAAGAAGCAAGGAAGTTTTCAAAGATACTAGAAAGTTCACAGACCATTGAAAAACCAAAGGAGAAGAACAGACCCCAGGTTGGATTGTCAGAAAGAATTCTTGGAGCTACATCTCAAAACTGGCTACTGACGCCCAGGTCACGCTGCTTCAGCCACAACCAGGAGCTGCTCCCACACTGACCTCAGAATCTCCCTCCTCTGTTGACACCCACGTCAGCAAATGATGCCTACGCCTTATCTTTTCTCATGTAACCCGTGTGAATCCATGTCTCAAGTTAGCTTTCTGAACTCTAGTGGCAAAAAAGGCTGGAAAATGTAGTTTTAAAAAACTCTGTTGAAAATCATGATTTAGGAAACTATCAAAACATGGAGAGGTTATCAAAATGTTTTGAACCTCGATTCCCATCAATTTAAATAAAACAAGTGGAAAACACAGAAAAGTAAGACTTTTCTGGAGAAAATAATTTTTCTTCATTGAATGAATTAGGTTAGGCCAATTTTAAATTTTTATTTTAATGATTTAGCACTTACATTAACAAATTAATCGTCATTTCCCAACTTTTATGAATGTCATTTGCACCTCTTCTGCAAGGAAATTATGTTTCTGGTTGTGTTTAAATGTTGCCTTTTAGTTTCTCTCCACTGTAACATTTTCTGGTGGGGTTAATTAATTAATTTTAAAGATTCTTTTGATGTGGGCCATTTTTAAAAAGTCTTTATTGAATTTGTTACAATACTGCTTCTGTTTTATATTTTTTGGGTTTTTGGCCGTGAGGCACGTGGGATCTTATCTTCTCAACCAGGGATCGAACCTGCACCCTCTGTGCTGGAAGGTGAAGTCTTAACCACTGGACCACCAAGGAAGTCCCACGGTTATTTTATTAATGCATCCTCTTACTGGAAAGATTCACTCAGATGGGAACAAGTGTTTTATTTTTACATGTTAACAGTGCATCCTCTTTCCTGGATCACTGGATATGTTTAGAGGCTCCGTGACTACTCACAGTATTCAAAAGACAAAAAGAGAACAGACGTGTTCCAAGATGATTTCAGAGCCAGAATGTTGTATAATCTTTCCCCCTCCCCTCCGCCATTTAGGACCAAATTTCTTTTTTTTCCATTTAGGGGCCATTAACTTTTCACAATGTCTAAAAAGGCAGGTATTTCTCATACTCGCTTATTGTATCTTTGCTCCTTGTTTTAAAATAAAAGAAGAAATCAACCAATTAACAGATTTTGAACACATTAAATTTGCTTAAAAATATTCTGGGTAAAAAAAAAATAACCTGGGTTTATTAGTCCTCAATGATTGTAAAAGTACAGTCATTCTTAAGAACGTGTTCACATGAATACACTGCCCAGTTTTCTAATTTCCACAGCAAAATACTAACTATACCTAGCCTTTACTAGAACATCCTTTTCACTGACAGTTTAGTTATTAGGAAAGTATGCTGTATGTTTTTCTTACTCCAACTTGTCAGCTAGGTGTTTGCCCTCAAGGATGACTATAAAACTGGTATGAAAGACACCTATCTCCCTGTGCTATGTGGCTGCTTCCCACTAGCTATCTATTTTACATTTGGTAGGGTATATATGTCCATGTCACTCTCTCGCTTTGTCCCAGCTTACCCTTCCCCCTCCCCGTGTCCTCAAGTCCATTCTCTAGTAGGTCTAGTAGGTTTAATTTTTGTTGTGTTTTGTTTTGTTTTTTAGATTCCATACATATGTGTTAGCGTACAGTATTTATTTTTCTCTTTCTGACTTACTTCACTCTGTATGACAGACTCTAGGTCCATCCACCTCACTACAAATAACTCAATTTCTTTTCTTTTTATGGCTGAGTAATATTCCATTGTATATATGTGCCACATCTTCTTTATCCATTCATCTGTTGATGGACACTTAAGTTGCTTCCATGTCCTGGCTATTGTAAATAGAGCTGCAATGAACATTGTGGTACATGACTCTTTTTGAATTATGGTTTTCTCAGGGTATATGCCCAGTAGTGGGATTCCTGGGTTGTATGGTAGTTCTATTTTTAGTTCTTTTAGGAATCTCCATACTGTTCTCCATAGTGGCTGTAACAATTTACATTCCCACTAACAGTGCAAGAGTGTTCCCTTTTCTCCACACCCTCTCCAGCATTTATTGTTTCTAGATCTTTTGTTGATGGACATTCTGACTGGTGTGAGATGATATCTCATTGTAGTTTTGATTTGCCTTTCCCTAATGATTAGTGATGTTGAGCATTCTTTCATGTGTTTGTTGGCAATCTGTATATCTTCTTTGGAGAAATGTCTATTTAGGTCTTCTGTCCATTTTTGGATTGGGTGGTTTGTTTTTTTGTTATTGAGCTGCATGAGCTGCTTGTAAATTTTGGAGATTAATCCTTTGTCAGTTGCTTCACTTGCAAATATT